CGTACGCGACCAACGTATATCCCTCACCGCCCTTGCCACCCTCGCCTCCACCGCCATCGCCGCCACCACCATCGCCACCGCCACCAGCGCCACCAGCGTCATCGCCACCGCCGCCCTCGCAGCCACCGCCACTACCCTCGCTGGCAACGTTCCTTCAGCCCACGCCACCTCCACCATCTCCTCCGCCTCCATCACCGCCCCCTCCCTCACCACCGCCGCCCTCGCCTCCGCCGCCGTCACCGCCGCCCTCGCCATCACCCATGCCGCCAGGCGATCTAAGCTCATCGCCTAAGCCGCCGCCGCCCTCGCCTCCGCCACCCTCGCCACCCCCTCCCTCGCCTCCACCTCCCTCGACTCCACCACCATCGCCACCGCCTCCCTCCCCACCGCCTCCCTCACCGCCGCCGCCCTCACCGCCGCCGCCCTCGCCTCCGCCACCCTCGCCGTCGCCCGTGCCACCATACGCGACCAACGGGTATCCCTCACCGCCCTTGCCACCCTCGCCTCCACGGACATCGCCGCCGCCGCCCTCGCCACCGCCGCCCTCGCCTCCACCGCCATCGCCACCGCCACCATCGCCACCGCCACTACCCTCGCTGACAACGCTCCTTCAGCCCACGCCACCTCAACCATCTCCTCCGCCTCCTTCACCACCGCCGCCCTCGCCTCCGCCGCCGTCACCACCGCCGCCCTTGCAGCCACCGCCCTCACTGGCACCCATGCCTCCAGGCGCTATAAGCGCATTGCCTACGCCGCCATCGCCCTCGCCACCGCCTCCCTCCCCACCGCCTCCCTCACCGCCGCCGCCCTCGCCTCCGCCGCCCTCGCCTCCGCCGCCGTCACCACCGCCGCCCTCGCCATCACCCATGCCGCCAAGCGATCTAAGCGCATCGCCTACGCCACCGCCTCCCTCCCCACCGCCTCCCTCACCACCACCTCCCTCACCGCCGCCGCCCTCGCCTCCGCCGCCCTCGCCGTCGCCCGTGCCACCGTACGCGACCAACGTATATCCCTCACCGCCCTTGCCGCCCTCGCCTCCACCGCCATCGCCGCCGCCACCATCGCCACCACCGCCATCGCCACCGCCACCATCGCCACCGCCACTACCCTCGCTCCTTCAGCCCACGCCACCTCCACCATCTCCTCCGCCTCCATCACCGCCCCCTCCCTCACCGCCGCCGCCCTCGCCTCCGCCGCCCTCCCCAGCGCCGCCCTCGCAGCCACCGCCCTCACTGGCACCCATGCCTCCAGGCGCTCTAGGCGCATTGCCTACGCCGCCGCCGCCCTCGCCTCCACCACCCTCCCCACCGCCTCCCTCACCGCCGCCGCCCTCGCCTCCGCCGCCCTCACCGCCGATTCCCTCGATGTCGCCCTCGCCGCCGATTCCCTCGATGTCGCCCTCACCGCTGCTGCCACTCCTGGAGCCGCAGTCGCCGGCCTGCCCGATCATCTACCAGCGGGTCGATGTAGGCAACACCGACTGCGCGCGCGAGGGGTTGTGCGCAATCCAGAGCCTCGAGGAGTGCACGTACGCCGCGGAGCAGCTGCTGCGCTCGATAGAGGTCGTGAATGGATCTTGGAAGTCCGCCGTCACGGGTTGCATGGACCCAGGGTGGTCTGATGGGCGCCTTGTTTTCAACATGGAGCCGCCGAACGGGTTCCTTTCCGAGGCCGACCAGCGTGTCGTCTGTGCTTCTTGCCCGTGCTTGATCATTCCCTCACCGCCGCCACCCTCACCGCCACCTTCCTCCCCGCCACCGCCCTCGACGTCGCCCATGCTGCCAGCTGCTGCTGGCCCCTCCAACTCACCTCCCTCATCGCCGACTCCATCGCCACCGCCCCAATCTCCCGGCATGGCTGCGCCACCACCCCAATCTCCCGGCATGGATGCGCCACCGCCCTTCCCATCGACGACCCCTTCTCCTGTCTTGCCACCGTCTCCCCCGTCCCCTCCTCCGCCATCCACCCCACCAAGAATACCCAAAGGCGAACCCCAAGCTCCCCCGGCCGGTCCGGCGTATCCACTGAAGGAGCCGCCTTCGCCGCCTCCACCTTCAACGCCTCCACCTTCAACGCCCCCTACTGCCGTGCCGTTCCCCGAGGACGCCGAGGAGCCCGGCTCCGGCGAGACTGGCTCCGTCGAGTCTGGCTCCGGCGAAGCGTCTGGGTCTTTGGATGTGCTGCCACTACAACCGCCACTGCTGCTACCGCCGCCATTGCCGCCTCCGCTGCCCTCGCCAGCACCGGAGGCGGTCCTTTTGTCGCCACCTTCCACACCGCCGGTGGTCCCATTGTCTTCCCCCCCGCTGGTTGTGTCAGTCTGCAGACGCTTTGTGGAGGACTGCTACGAGGCGCCGGATTGCGTCCAGCGGTGGATGCAGCACGACGGCAAGGACTGGGAGTGCGGGTTCAACCACAACCACAACCACAACGGTTGTGACATGGAGTACAGCTTTGCAATCGGTTCAAATGGATTGTTCGAAGAAAAGCCGATCATCAAGTGCGAGGACATATCGCCCCCATTGCCAACGTTACCACCCTCACCGTCCTCGCCGCCCGTATCGCCGCGACCGCCGGCACCACCGCTTCTAAACCCCGCTGTGCCGCCCTCTCGCAGCTTGACGCCTCCGCACGCCCCTCCCTCTGCGCCTGTCTGCCCAGACTACTGCGCCTACTGGGCCGGGGACGGAGAATGCGACCAGGGGTGCGCCAAAAGCGAGTGCGGCTGGGATGGCGGTGACTGCGATGCTCCCTCGCCGGCGCCGTCCGCATCGCCACCCGTAACGCCTCCACCCATCTCGCCTTCGCCCACCTCACCCCCGCCAACGTCACCTATGCCACCGCCTCCCTCCCCACCGCCTCCCTCACCACCACCTCCCTCACCGCCGCCGCCCTCGCCTCCGCCGCCCTCGCCGTCGCCCGTGCCGCCGTACGCGACCAACGTATATCCCTCACCGCCCTTGCCGCCCTCGCCTCCACCGCCTTCGCCGCCACCACCATCGCCGCCGCCACCATCGCCACCACCGCCATCGCCACCGCCACCATCGCCACCGCCACTACCCTCGCTCCTTCAGCCCACGCCACCTCCACCATCTCCTCCGCCTCCATCACCGCCCCCTCCCTCACCACCGCCGCCCTCGCCTCCGCCGCCGTCACCACCGCCGCCCTCGCCATCACCCATGCCGCCAGGCGCGCTAAGCGCATCGCCTACGCCACCGCCTCCCTCCCCACCGCCTCCCTCACCACCACCTCCCTCACCGCCGCCGCCCTCGCCTCCGCCGCCCTCGCCGTCGCCCGTGCCACCGTACGCGACCAACGTATATCCCTCACCGCCCTTGCCGCCCTCGCCTCCACCGCCATCGCCGCCACCACCATCGCCACCGCCACCCTCGCCTCCACCGCCATCGCCACCGCCACCATCGCCACAGCCATCGGGAGATCCCGAGCCTCTTATATCGCCTTCAGCCCCGCCACCGTTGGTATCACCGCTGCCGTCGCTGCCTCCGCCATCGGCGCCACCTTCACCTCCTGCAGCAAGTGCTTGTCTCAGCGCGTGCCTGCTGGTTTGTCGAAGCACACCGGCCTGTATTCAGACTTGCAACCTGGTGTGTAAGGTCGCTGTCGCGTCACCGCCGTCGCCTCCTCTGCCGTCAGCGCCACCTACACCGTCCCCTGGCGACCCGTTCCCCACCGGCGCCGTGGTCGGGGGCGTGTTGGCCGCACTCTTCCTTGTGCTGCTCCTCGCGTGTGCGTATAGGCACCGTCACAAGTGGATGAGCGGTCTGACCGCCCCCTCCCTCCGCGGTCTGGCCGCCCCCTCCCTCCCAGCGGCTCCCTCGCTCCCTGCCTGGCGATCGATGATCTGGCAGCGAATCTGAAGGGGGACGTGTACCCCACAGGCTCAGCGCTTCCTAGCCAGCGACCGCGATGCGCGCGGCTTGACGACGTGAGTACTCTTTCGTGTGTGCTGATGCGTTCAATAAACTAAAAATGTGATATCAGGCAATGCCTTGCGATGAAAAAGTTGTGTCAAAATCACGCGGCGCAGCGGCCGTGGCTCGACCGCTGCGCGCTGCCGCACACCGCGTCCGCACAAGGAGAGCGTAGGCGCAGCGCACGTCCGCGTCGCTGTTCTGCGACGCACGCGCTCCGTCGAGTTGACACTGTTGCCCAGGCGCTGAGCGCCGCCGCCGCCCCGCACCGCCTGATCGCGCGCCTGTCGACGAGCATGCGTCTTGCCACAGCACTCACGGTATTTGCTGCTGCGACGGGCGCGCTCTCGCCGAGCGGCCCGGGGCGCCGCAACGAGGCGGGCAGGCGGCCCGCCGTCCTCAAGCGCACACTCGCCGGCTTACCCTCGCGGCGGCCAAGGCCTCGGGAGACGACGATTCACCGCGAGCGCTCACGAGCCGCGACGTGAACCGATTGGTCGCCGAGGCGGGAACCGAGGACGACCTCCTGCGCGCCTCGGCGCTCCTCCCGCTGGCGGGAAGAGACGATCGACTGGGAGCGCCAGCCGTTGCACGTGGCCAAGCGCCGGAAAGCCCTCACCGCCCTCCTCCAGAAGCTGTCCCGCAGATGCTGCGGCGGCGGCGCGAGGGCGGCGCGAGGGCGCGTGCTCGCCGACGAGCGCTTCCGGCGCTGCGTCAGGCTGATCGCGGAGCCGGGCGGCGCGGAGGCGTTCGCGGCGGAGCGACGGGAGGCGCTCCGGGTGGTGGCGTCGCTGGCGCAGGAACCCGGAGCCCTCGCCCCCGTTTCGGCGGACCTCGACGAGGCGTTCTCCCTGGCGGCGGCGGAACTCGACACCGCGCCTTGCTAGCGCGGCGGTGACGCTGCACTGGGCGGCGACGCGGTGCGGTCGAGCCGGCGCGCCCGTCTCGGCGGCAGGCGCGCTTGCGAAAGCCGAGGCGGCGCTCGACTTGCCGTTCCGCGTGCTGCCCGGGGCGCTGGAGTCTGCCGCGCCGCCGCCTGAAGTCCTCGCGGCGAGTCTGCCGCTGCGAGCGGACGAAATCGCAACGCGCGCCGGCAAAAGTCCGGAGCGGGAAGCCAGGAGTCGCGGCGACGCCGCGGCGACGACGCGGAGCGTCCGCGGGTGACCTTAATCGGGACGATCCACGCCGTGGCCGCGACATCCAGCTACGACGTGTGGATCGTCCAAGAATGCGGAAACGGACGATCCACGCCGCTCCTGCAGCTCGAATACCTCGCCGGGCTGCTGGCGGGCCATCCCCGCGCCGTCACTCAAGCCCATCCAGCTCTGTGGGTTGCACGTGGGAGTGGGGTGGGAGTGGGGTGAGAGTAGCGTGGGAGTGGGGTCGGAACAGCGTGGGAGTAGGGTGTGAGTGGTGGGAGTAGGGTGTACATGGCGTGCATGGGCACGTGAACAGGGCATGTGAATGAGGGCGTGAATGGGGTGTGAGAGTGTCACCGGCCCCCTCCACAGGCGGGCGATGCACCGGGCAGCGGCTGTGAGCGGATGGCCGAGCAGGGCGTCGTCGGCGCGGCAAACGGGCGGCGCGCGAGTTGCGACTGAGCCGGCGGCATGCGGCGGAGCGTTGTGGCCCATGAGTGAGCATGTGTGCCGAGCATGAGCATGCTGTGCACGGACATGGATGGAGATGGATACAATCATGGAAACGAACATGGACATGGACACGGACAACATGGACATGGACATGGACATGGACATGGACATGGACATGGACATGGACATGGACATGGACATGGACATGGGCATGGGCATGGACATGGGCATGGACATGGACATGGACATGGACATGGACATGGACATGGACATGGACATGGACATGGACATGGACATGGACATGTACATAGACACACATGTACATAGGGATTGAAAGAACATAGAAGCCCGGACCGCACGTGAGAGCACGATTTCTGTCCCTGTTGCGGTGCGGCAGGAGCTATACATGGACATGGACATGGACATGGACATGGACATGGACATGTATGCCCATATGGAGAGCGCTGAGACCTGGGGAGTAGTACGTGAATTTTTAGGCTAGGCGAATCCCTTTTCAATTCCGATATGACTCAGTCACTGCTGGCGATGAGCACGGTATGAGATCAGGACTAGCACGGGCACCTCGCCGCTCCCCGTGTGCAGACTGCAGGGACATATACGCTCTAGGTAGTCAGAGGCTAGTCATAGATCATCATAGTCATGAGTTAGGTCCCCAGACACGTACGGCAGGGTGCAGCTCGCTGAGCACTGAGAGTGGGATGGTGTGGGGAGGTGACCTCTTATTGGAGTCGGAGGAGGAGCAGTTCACCTTCCAGGAGTTCTACTTGCATGCAACGAAAAAGTGCCCGCCGTTCTCCATGGCGCGCGTAGCTATGACAGGGACCGCGGCCGCGGACCCGGCGGCGGACGGGGCTGGCGCGCAAGCGCCGGCCACCGTCGTGCCGCCGGGGATGCGCAGCGGACGCTGGAATAGCTCCGATCGCGCGCAACTGGAGGACGCGGTGAGTGTCGCAAGGCTGTTCGGTGCGTCTTGTGTCAGGGTGATAAGGCCTGGCTACGCGACCATCGAGGTCGACCTGAAGCACGAGAAGGCCGCGGGCGACCGCGAGTCGGTGCAGGCGGCGGAGCGCTCGTACATCGAGCGCACCGCGCCGAAGAAGAAGGAGCCCACCAAGGAGCAGCTCGCGGCTCGAGCCGCGGCACGCAAGGCCAAGAAGGACCGGCAGAAGGCGCGCCGGGCGACGGAGGCTGGCGAGCGCGCCGCGAGCGAGGCCGAGCGCGCGGAGGCCCCGCGGGCGCAGCTGCGCGAGAACATCCAGTACGTGATGGCCGGGCTGCGGTCTGCAGCTGCGCAGGCGCGCAGCCAGGCCGGGTCCAAAATGGGGGTCGAATACTCGCTGCCCCCGGAGAGGGACGACGGGTATCGACGCGGCCCCAGCAAGGTGTACGCCACAGTTCCCCAGGGGACCGTGGCGACGACCGTCGCCTCGGACTGGCTCGCGAACGAGCTGGCCGAGCACGGAGAGATCGATGCGGCATACCGCGACCGCATAGTCATGCACCTGATGACGGCCGCCGGCGCCTCGGCGCCGGCCGACGCCGTGTTCAGGTTCACGGCTGGCGACGCGAACGATGCAGACCGAGGACGACGACGAGGACGCTGACCGCTCCGAGGATTATTCCGACGACGGGAGGGCGTCCGACTTGTAGCTGGCCTCACCCATTATATCTTACCCTCTGCCCCCCCCTCCTGCTACCCCCCAGGCTAGATGGTCACAGATAGCCCCACACAGCCCCTTACCCCTTCACCCTCGCCTCGCTGGTGTTTCTGAACACGTAGACGACCACGCTGTGGGGGTTGTGTTATAGGAGTAGGAGTGGGGTGCAGGTTGCTCACCCACGGCACCGGGCCGGTGCTTGCACTTTGAATGCCGTGGGGCTCCTGCCCGTGTCCCGGGCGTGGAGATGCGAGGGTCGCCCCCCCTTGCCCCACCACTTTGTGTGTGTGGAGACGTTTACCTTACCTTACCTTACCTTACTTGCATGCTGGGCCCGTGGGCACGCGGTCGGCAGAAGGAGGTGCTGGCCGCGCTCAAGCGGCTCGTCAACGGGTACAGTGTGTCGCCGGCGAAGCTAATCATGGACGACGACGACGACCAGAGCGTGGACATGGACGAGCTCGTGTTCCGACCCAATCCTGCGGGCGGTCTCGAGCTCAGCAACTCGGACAACGAGGAGTGATTAGACGGGGAGAGGGCGCTTGGTGTCTCTGTATTTCGAGATACTAATTTATTCACAGCTGAGGCGAGCGTGTGCGGTGTGACCCTCGAGCCAACCCGACCGACCCCCCCCTCGGTCTGTGCTCCGACCGACCGGACCCCCCCTCCGGTTTGCGGTCTTCTACTGGCAGCCGGGCGGGCGCGCGCCGCGGGCGCCTCGGCGCGCGCACGGCTCGCAACATTCGAACGAGTACTGCCGCCTGGCCGCCTCAAGGCTGCCGGGCGGCAGTACTCGCCTCGCAAGGCGCGCACCGGCTGCTCTGGCTGCTGCGCCGGCGGCCGCTGCGCTGGCCGCTGCTGCGCCGGCTGGCGGGCGGCACGGCCGCCGGCGGCCGCTGCACCCGCGCCTTCCCTCGCGGGCGCCGTCGCGCCGCGCGCGCCCAACTCTGCTGGCACACGGCACGCGTCGTCACACAGCCGCGGAGAACAGGCGGTGCTGTGCGCGAAGCGCGCGCGATCTCGTACTTTTAAGGCTGGATCCGGCCATTCCAAGGGTATCAGCGGCCACTCTTCGAATCGCTGGTCGAGCGACCCGGGGGATGCCCCGCGCGCCTGACCCAGGCGCGAAAAACGAATCTGCGAGGCGAGGCCGCTCACGCGGCCCGATGGGGAGGAGCGGGGCGAGCCCCCTCCAACCCACCCGCGCTAGGTCTCGGGTTTGACGCATGGGGTCACTCCCGCGAAACCCGTGAACTAGCCGGGGCAGTCGGAGAAGTGGCAACTCCGTGCACTGACGGTCGGCCGCCAGAAAACACGCCTCCGTGGCTCGGGTTACACCAATCCTCGCTACCCAACGCGGCCAAAGGATATCCACCTCGAGAACCTCGAGAAGGGTATCAAAGAGATATATTTCCCATTTCGTGCACAAAGAGCACAAAGGTGGCACCCTCGGCCAGCTGAAGCTCTCGACTCGTCGACCGAACTCTGGACGATGCCGACCTCAAACCACCAGCGCCAGGAACGACGTGCCGCGGCTCGCCGCGCATCTGTTGCGACCGACGACGTGCCCGACGCCGTCCCGCGGCCGCAAGGAAGAGGCCCGCGCAACCATTTCTGGGACCCGCGAGGAGAGGAGAGAGGAGGAGAGAGGAGAGAGGAGGAGGGGGAGAGGAGAGAAGAGGTGGGGGGTGAGAGGGAGGGAGGGAGGGAGGGAGAGAGGGAGGAGAGAGAGAGAGGAGAGCCTTTGAGCCTTGGCACCAGCCAGGCAGTTGATTTGGCCCTGGCACCAGCCTTGGCAGTGAGTTGGCCTTGGCACCAGCCTTGGCGGGCGGGCACGCGGGACATGCACGGGCGCCAAGGGGCGCGGCGCCGACAATCACGGCGGTGATTGCGGCGCAGGTGGGGGGACGGGAAGTCCGCCGGCGTTGCCGGGGGCCCAAGGAAGCGCGAGGGAAAAATTCCGCCGCTGAGGGCGCTCGTGCGGCAATAGCCGGGTGGAGGGGGGAGCGTGCCGGACGGGGCGTTGTCGCGCCGTCCGATGGTCTGCTGCCCCGCGCAGCAACCGTCGGGCGACGACCCGGGGGCCAAAAACCCGGCGACGACGGCGCTCTGGATGGGGCGTGACCTCCTGCCTCCAACCTCCTTCCTTTTTGAGCAGGTGTGACGCCGCGCAAGCGACGCTCCGAGATCGCCCGAGATAGCGCGGCGCGGCCCCGAGATCGCCCGAGATAGCGCGAGATCGCCCGAGATAGCGCGGCGCGGCCCCGAGATCGCCCGAGATCGCGCGAGATCGCCCGAGATCGCGCGGCGCGGCCCGGGGCGGGGTGGATGGGTTGGGAGCGAGGGGGCGGAAGTGTTCAGTGCGGTAGATGGCGAGCTCGAGGCGCGTGAGCCGGACTTGTGAGCCGGACCACCCCCTCTTGTTCTCTGCGTTGTTGAGCCAGGACTCAACATACTCGGGCTTGCTCATCCCAAACTGTCACTCCCCTCTCTCCCGGCCGGGGTGGGGCGCGCGCGGGGGCGCGGGTGTGCGGCGGGTGTGAGGGATGTCTGTGAGCCCGAGAGCGATATGCCATGTCCGCCTTGCGTTGTTTCATAACATCGAAGGCTAAGCTCAAAAAAAAGAAAAAAGAGTGCGAATGGCAGTTGGATACCTCTCGCATCCTGGCCCGCCCCGCCCGCCGGTCGCGGACACGCCCGACGCGCGAACGCTGTGAACGGCGCCTCGGCGCCGCGCCTCGTTCGCCGCCGCCCACGGTCGCCGCTCCACCGCCGCCGCTCCACCGCCGCCGCTCCACCGCCGCCGCTCCACCGCCGCCGCTCCACCGCCGCCGCTCCACCGCCGCCGCTCCACCGCCGCCGCTCCACCGCCGCCGCTCCACCGCCGCCGCTCCACCGCCGCCGCTCCACCGCCGCCGCTCCACCGCCGCCGCTCCACCGCCGCCGCTCCACCGCCACCGCCTCTCCTCTCCACCGCCTCTCCTCTCCACCGCCGCCGCTCCACCGCCACCGCCTCTCCTCTCCACCGCCGCCGCTCCACCGCCACCGCCTCTCCTCTCCACCGCCGCCGCTCCACCGCCGCCGTCTCTCCTCTCCACCGCTGCTCCACATTGTGGCCGCTGTCCTCTCCCCGCCTCTCCTCTCAGCTGCAGCGCCTGATCGTCTACTACCACCTCGGCACGAGCGACGACTACCTGTACGTGCTCGACGACTACTACCTAGCTAGGCATCTTGGACTACTACCTACTCTTCTACATCCCCGTGCTCCCGCTCGAGATCCTCCTCGTTGCCCTAGCTCGGCGAGCAGGGAGGCCCCCGAGCTGAACGGCACACGACGACGCACGCCCGCACTAGGGGCGAGGGCCCGGGACCGGACAGGGGCCCGGGACCCGAACACCGTCGGTGGCGTCCCGGCGGCGCTGATAGTGCACAGCGCCGCCGTGGGGGGGACGCTGCAAGTCTGTCTGGGGGATACCTCCCACCGCTCTGCATGCCTGCGCCGCGGGGCCGCACCGCGTAGCCGCCCGACGGGGCCGCCTTGAGCGGCTGGTCGGCGAGGCCGGCGGGAGCGGCTGGCGGCGCGCGGGGCAGAGAGTCGGTGCCCCAGGCGAGGCGACACCCGGAAATTCGGTAGAAGCCCTAGGACACGAGAGCCCGCCAGCCTGCTTGCAGGCACCTCTCCCCAGAGGGGCGGGGGATCGGGGCCATACCGAGCGAACCCCGCGGTGCAAGGCCGTCCACCGAAGCCGTCTCGGGGCAGGTCTGTCTCGAATGGATAGCCTTGGGCTCGGCCGGGTGGCTCGGCTAGCATGAGACGTGGGGACGTGTAACGACTCGACACGGGTGGGCGAGAGCTTGAGATGACGTGTTTTACGTCCACCTGGGGCCACCATAGTGAGGGAGGCGACAAACGAGCGAGTAGCGCCCCCAGGGCCCTCCTCCTGGCTCCCTGCGCCCCCAGCCCTTTGAGTGGGTCCCCTGGGACACAGCGAGCCGGCCCGACCATGCAGGGTCGGTCCCCCCGAGTGCTGTGAACGTAATGAGTGGTAGGTGTGAAAAGCCACCAAAACACTAAAAAGCGTGAAGAGGCGCGCGTGGGTCTCAGGCTCGGCACGAGTGCAAGCCTGGCCTTCCTTCACCACCCAGGCGAGGGGCCTGGGCGCGTCGGGGGGACGCCGAGCAGCGGCTGGTGTGCCCCCTCACTACTTCAGATGGTACGCGCGAGGGCCCGCGTACCTGTACGGCTGCCCACGAACGGTCCACATCGCGGCTCATGGCACCGGCGCGGCGCTGGAGAGCTTGCCCTCGGTGGTGAAGGAAGCCCGGCGCCCGCCACTCTTGAGGGCCGGTTGCCCTGGGGCCGGCAGAGGCAGCTACGTCCCCTTTTCCGGTTACGAAGGACCGAAAAAGAAACACAATTTTCGCCGTCCAAGAGAGAGCCTCGGCAGGTGCAGTTTAGCGACCATGGTCGCGATGTCGACGTTGTCCGGGAAGACGTTGTCCGGGAACGACCCGGACAGGTATCAGAAGCAGAAGAAGGCGGCGGCGGCGCGCGAGAGGCGAGAGCGAGCCAAGATCGAGAAGCAGTCCGCCAAGATGGCCGCGGCGGCGGCGGAGGCGGTCGCGGCGGCGGGAAGCAAGCGGCCGGCCGAGACGGCACCGGACAAGGATCCGGCCGGCGGCCGGGCGAAGCGCGGGCCGGCAGCGGGCGGCGGCGGCGGCGGGCGGAGCGGCGGCGGCGCGTGCGACAGCGACGGGTCGCGGCTCAACGCGGCGCTGCAGGCGGAAGTGATCGCGCTGAAGGCGCAACTGGCGGCGAAGACTGAGGCGGCGGCGGCGGCGTCGCTGGCGCACGCGGCCAAGACGGCGGAGCTGGCGCGAGCGCGGGAGGCGCTGTTGCCGAAGTCTGGGCCGCTCGAACCGGTCAGCATCGAGCAACGCAACGAAGCCTTTCGCGTGCGCTCCGACGGCCAGGCGCGAGGCGACGCGGCGACCGTGCGGGCTTCGCAGCGAGCGGTATCCAAGACCGCCGATTCTTTGCCGGCCGATCCGTACCAGGCGGGCGTCGTGCTCGACGCCGTCGTGAAGAGGTACCCGGAGGCGGCGGCCTCCGTCGGCCTGCGAACGCAGTCCGACGTCTCTTTGGCTGAGGAGCTGCTCGGGCGCGTGCGCAAGTCACTCGCGGGCATCTTCGCGACGGACGGGAAGCGGTCGCGCGGGTCGCTGTCGAACGATGAGCATCAGGCGGTCGACACACTGCTCGTCTTCCTGGCGCAGGAGGAGGAGGGCGAGGCGCTGCAGCGCGGCCGACACGCGAAGAAGGCGAAGGCGGACGGCGGCGAGGTGCCGGTCGCCAAGGTGTCGCGCGTGCGCGAGATCGCTGAGCTGCTCGGCATGTCGCCGTCCACCACGCACCGCCGCCTCGTTGCGGCCCTCGAGCGGCGGCGCAAGCTGGATGACCCCGAGCTGCGGGCGTATTGGCTTGCAACGCGGACGCTGCTCGGCCACCGGCACAGTGACGAGGTGAAGCGCATGGTGCTCGAGTTCTACGTGGCGCACCCCTCGATCAAGCGCTCGCCCATCAAGTCCGACGTGCTGAAATTCAAGGACGACCAGGGCGAGGACATCTTCGTGCCCAAGCTGTTGAGCGAGGTCTCGCTGACGGACGTGTACCTCGACTTCAAAAAGGCCAACCCGAACGTCATCATTGGCGAGGCTGCCTTCCGGAAGCTGAGGCCACGCGAGCTGCGGCGCATGACCAAGCGCCACTTGGACATGTGCGGCTGCCGGCGCGCGCACCGCGCCGCGCTGCCACGTGCCTGCCCGTGCGTGAATCTTCTGCGTGCTTCTCCTAGGTACTGCATCGAGTTCCGGCTCCAGCACCAGGCCCTGAACCGGGCGCGCGCGTCGCTCGCCAAGCGGCACGGCGCCGGCTACACGGCCGCGTACGACCACGCCGCGCCCAAGGACGCCGTCGCTGCCTCGCTGTGCCAGCCATGCGACGCGACGGGCTCGGCGAGCCTGACGTGCGCCGTAGATGCAATTTCGGTCGTGGCTCACTCTATTCTCGCTGTCACAGCCTGTAGCCAGAGAAGATGGACCCAAGCTGTTGTTTTTACGCTAAAAATCCAAAACCACACACCCGAATCGCTTCGAACATTATTATGAGTAGAAACACTCTAGGCGGATACTCTCCGACACATTTGCTCGAGGGGCACCTGCCACCGGCAAAAAAACCAACCCCGCTACGGTAGCGCTACACGTTACAGTAAGCGCTCTCTCTCAGGTGCATACTCGGCCGCTGCAAGCACTGCGGGGTGTCCAAGATGAAGACGAGCCCGCGCGAGGAGGACACGTCGGCGACCGCCTACCGCGTCACACACCAGGTGTATGAGACACGTGAGGTGGAGACGTCGTACGTCGACGAGACCACTGGCGACCGCAAGAAGACGTCGAAGCTGATGCTGGTCGAGAAGACCGTGCCTATCGGCGAATTCATGCAGCAGTACCGAGAGAAACTGCAATACTTCTGCTTTCACAACCAGATGGCAAAGTGGACCTGGATGGTGCGCAAAGACAGGGCGGCCATTCGGAAAGGTGACCTCTCGCTGATCATGGACTACTCGGAGAAACTCAACCGCCTGCGCAGGACGCAGATTCAGACTGAGCATTGGGTCAATACCGCTATCACTATCGAGGTGGCTGTGGCTGAGGGGTTCAAGGCGACGATCCCGGCGGACGACCCGGTGCTGGCCGGGCTCGCCTCCATGTCGCCTGAGGAGCGGGGCAAGGAGCTCGACTCGCTCGGTGTGCTAGAGAAGCAGATCTACTACCACTGCTCTGACTACAAGGCGCAAGAGGCCAAAGTGACGACGCACAACATGCGTGTCATGCTGGATGAGCTGCTGCAAGCGAATGTGCTACTAGACGGGGGCACTGTGTGGCTCAAGACGGACGGGTGCGCTAAACAGTACAAGTGCAGCAAAGCCATGTACCTGCTCTGCGTGCTAGTCGCTGACCTGCGGGCGAAAGGGAAGCGTGTGACCATCGACCAGATGCTGGAGGTCACGGGGCACGGCAAGGACGAGGCGGACGGGCACGGGGGCGTGTTTAAGAACTGGCTCACCGGCGAGATGATGCGGTCGGACTTCATGGAGGGGGACGAGTCGGTCGTCGCCTCGTCTGACGCAAGGGAGGGAGAGGCTGTCAGCTTCGCAGATGCGTGCGCGAAGCGCGCGCGTGAGGGTTTTGGCGACCTCAAGCCGGCCGGGATGAACTCCAAGCGGCGCGAGAAGTCGAACACCGCCAAGCGGCACGTGCGCACCTACGAGGAGCACGACATTCGTGACGCGCCCGCCATCAAGGAGATGACCGCCGCGCTGGCTGCCGACGCGGAGGAGGGCGAGGACTCGAGGATCAAAGCCACGCTCGGCCACAACAACTTCCGGGCCGACCCCGACCTGCAGAAGGACGGGAAGTACGTCATTGCCGCGCGGCGGCTCGGGTGCCTTTGCGACGGCTGCCGCCGGGCCCTGGCGCGGCCGATCGCGACGCGCTATCAGCCGCACGACGACTGCGTGCACGCCGCAGCCTTTGGGCGCGACAACGACTGGAAACTGTGTGAGCTAGTGAGCAAGGACGGGGCGTCGGAGGAGCTCATCGAGGAGGACGCGCAGCTGCAGCTCGAGGCGCGGACCGACGGGGTGGTGAGCGGGTTGGTGGCGGGCGATAACATTGCCTTTGCAACGGCGGACGAGGTCTACTACGCGCGGGCGCTAGGGCCGGCGTACCGGCTCGACGCGGACGTGGAGCTCGAGGAGCTTGAGGGCGGAGACGGCAAGGCGATTCAGCTAGAGAAGGGGAGCCTCGTCATCGACGCCTGGTACTACAACAAGGTCCCTGGCGTGAGCAACTGGATGACTCCTTTTGAGGAGGGCGCGGCGGGAGGGCGGGTGCGCATCCCGTCGCACCTCATCCTTCACGCCGGGTTCGCCATGCCGCTGGCTGTCGTACCTGCGCAGCGGGCTGCGGGGAAGAAGAAGAAGAAGGCCTGGGGGCTCCCTGAGGCCAAGGCCGAGGCGGTGGCTAAGGGTGCGGTGGTGGTGTCGGCAGAGGTGCGGGCGGCGTGCGTAGAGGAGTTGTCGCGCCGCGACGAGTAGAGACCTATACATGTGTCTTGAGCGTAAATCGACCGCCCCCTCGCAGCGTGGGGCTACGGCGCCGGCGCGCCTGGGTCTCCGCTCGCCGCGACGCGACACTGGAGACGCCGCCGCCGAAGACCGTCGCCGCTTGCGACTCGCGTCGGGCCACGGGTAGTGAGCACCTTCCAGCCCGGAAGGAGGGATGAGAGCGGCCACGTGGCTCGGTTGTGCTACTGTGTGCCTTGTGTGCCGCCCTCGGCGTTTCACAATACAGGGTTATCAGCCGCGGTCCGTGCGAGCGACGCGCTGGCACAACCCGCTCGCACGCCCGCAGCGGCACACGCGCGGCGCCGCTGTGGGAAACCTGGCTTCTTCTGGGGCTAGCTGAAGCTACGAGCAACACCTCTGCCAACTCCCGGCGTTCCCCGACGCGCAGCACGCCCACGGCAGCTCACCGCGCACCCGGGAAGGGGGGCGCTGTCGTCTTGGGGCCCAGCTGCGCGAAAAACACCTCGCTGACGCCGCAAGTCGTTGCCGCCGGTTGCCAAAGTGCGCCTGGATTGCTCAGCAGCACAAGCATCCACGGAGCCAGCGAGCGCCGAGCGACATTGCTAGGGTGCCCACAGGACCCAAAAGAAAATAGCTTTCCGACTCAAAAAGGGACGCACGAGGCAAATCTGATGTTGGCCAGTTCCAATAGGAGCGAGGCCTCTTCCGTTGGGGGACCGAGTTCATAGGAAACGAGGGTTTCCCATTGTGACCCGCTCCAGCGCGAGCGTGACACTGCACTTGGCGCCGAGCGCCCGCGGCTCAGACCTTGTGCAGGCCACCCCTCGGTGACCACGCCGGTCCGGACCGATGGCGCTCGGTGTGGAGCAAGCAAGACCCCCCCCCCCATCGGCGCGCGCTCGCCATTCCAACGGCCGCCAGGAGCACCAAGAGGACTCCTCATGGCTGTGGTCAAGTGGGCTTCGACCGGCCTCGGCTGGGGGGGCGAATTGTCCCGGCTGCGGACGCGTTCTGCAGCCCCCTGGGCGTGGGTCAGCACCCCAAAACTGCCCCTCGGCGGCATACAGCACTGCCCCAGCCAGCCTCTTCCTCCTCCTCAAGGGCTGTACTATAGGCCATATTGCGCCGCCTCCTACTGGCAGCCGGGCGGGCGCGCGCCGCGGGCGCCTCGGCGCGCGCACGGCTCGCAAAGTTCGAACGAGTACTGCCGCTCGGCCGCCTCAAGGCTGCCGGGCGGCAGTACTCGCCTCGCAAGGCGCGCACCGGCTGATCTGGCTGCTGCGCCGGCGGCCGCTGCGCTGGCCGCTGCACCCGCGCCTTCCCTCGCGGGCGCCGTCGCGCCGCGCGCGCCCAACTCTGCTGGCACACGGCACGCGTCGTCACACAGCCGCGGAGAATAGGCGGTGCAGCGCGCGAAGCGCGCGCGATCTCGTACTTTCAAGGCTGGATCCGGCCATTCCAAGGGTATACCTTTGAGAATCCCCAGCGTCCCACCCTCCTAGTCACACTCTCAATTTCTCGACTGGCCAACACGAAGTGCTGCGATCGGGGGAGCCCATTTCTTTTTTCCTTTCTTTTTTTGGGCCCTGTGGGCACCCTAACATTGCCTTGACTGAGCCGGACCGCGACATGTCGGCGGGCAAACTTGTAAAATGGTTCCGATAGCCGAGGTAGCTCCGGCGGACGTGAGAGCACGGCCTGACGATCAAGCACGAGAGCGACGAACGGAGGCGCAGATAACTGGCGGTGAACTCACTGCTGATACCTGCTGGAGCTGCGGAAGATGCAGTAGTACTGCCGCAGACAGAGCACCGCGCGCGGAGCGCGCCGCTGGAAAGCACGCGCGGAGCGCGCCGCTGGGTAGGCGCGGAGCGCTGCCACTTGAGACTGGGCCTGTGGGTGGGCCGAGTGGTTCCTAGCGTGTGAGTCAAACTCTTAATAGAGATCGCATCTAGCCCTCCACAACCCTCAAAATTTTCTTCGGGGCGCGCTCCGCGCGCGGCGCTCCGCGCCTCACTCCTTGAGCGTCATACATAGGCGCTGGCCCGCACATGTTCTGCAGCTTGGTCGGAGAGTCGGAGTACTGTACGTATATATTCGTTTGAAATATAGCCGATCTCACAGACACTTTCGTGTTTCGACTTGAGCCGTTCACCTCTCACAAACTCACAGAGACAGAGCTCAGAGGTGATTGGCACGCATCTCTTTAAACTCTAATCCACATTGTAGTGACTAGTGCACACGTAATCCACACACACGCACACAGTCACTCAGACTCACCCACGGCGCCACGCAGAGACTCGCACAGGAGCCCGGGCGGCGCCGCGGTGGCCGTGGGGAGGGAGCGAGACAGATAGGGAGCGCTGGTGCCTGCTTTCCCTGCCTTCAGACGCGACCAAGACGGTGGGCCTTCAACTTCCACGCGTCGGACCCTCTCTCTCGCATCCGGCTCGACGGCCACGGAGGATTGCTCTACTTGTCTCCAGACCTCTCTGAAGACGAGCCGCGAGCGCCAGCAGCCAGCCAAACGACGCTGCTCAAGTGAGCCCGCTCAAGCTCGCAACGGTCTCCGCTGCCGCCGCCTCCACCTCGCCATCGGCACGCGCAGCGCGTGCCGGTGCCAGCCAAGGCACGTCGGCCGGCAGCACACGCCCTCTGCTGCTGCACTCAAACGGCGCCGGAGCGACCACTGCGCCGGCGGGCGTGGCCTCCGGGGCCGCTCGCACGCTCGCAGCCAGTGCTTCTGATCGACTCCGCCGTGGGTGGCGCGTGCGCGGTGCTCTCGTTCGAGCGTCTGATCAACGAGTCGCGAGCCTCGTGCCACGCCGAACCCGCCTGCCGCAAGAAGATGGGGTAGCGTAGGAGGGCGGGGTGTCGGCGCCTGTTGCTTCGCGCGTGCCTGCCCCTTGCGCTTGCCTCTCGCAACCGTACGTCAGTCGTCCTTCGTGCACTTGTGTCGAGCCTGTCTGCTGTCAGAAAGAGTTTTCCATCGCCATTCTTTCTTTTTCGCACGACACTGGGCACGGGAAAAGAAAGAAATAAAACAGACAACTCCAAACGAGGGATAGGGGAGGAGGACAGGGTCCCCACACCTGCACGAGCAGGATTTTGGAAGGACGAGCAGGGGGACAGGTGGGGGGCTCTCCTGCTCCTGACAAGGGACACGACAGGCTCGCAGCGCGGTGCACGGACCACGGTGGACTCCCACATCCACTGGCGGTCTCATCTCAGTCTAGCGACCTTCCTCCGGCTTCTCACCGGCAGTCTCTCACTACCACAGGCACACTGACACAGGGGTGGCAGGGGCGGCGGCATGAGTCGAGGGGGAAAAGAAAGAAAGAAAGAAAGAAAAAAAACAGACAATCCAAGGGAGGGATGGGAGGACGGCACGCCGCCACCACACGGGGATTTTAAGGAGAGGTGTGTGATGCGCTAGCCGTCGCCCACCCTAGGGAGTCTGCCTCTTCCGATCTCTCTTCGCAGTCTCTCGCCGCTTCTCGCTGCAACCTTCATGCCACCTCGCGAGGGGAAAAAGAAAGAAAGAAAACAGACAACCCAAGAGAGGGATGGGAGGACGGCAGGGACTGATTTTTGGCCTGTACGAGGTTTTCCGGCAAACAAAAAGGAAAACAGAGGGTCCCCAGCACTTTGCGTTTCCGGAAATTTCCAGGGAAAACAGAGGGTGTTTGGTGCTCCATTCTGGAAACTCGCGAGTTTCCCTGAGTCTGAGAGCTGGTCTGGGGCAAAATCTGAGGCAAAATTGAGGAATCGACAAAATACCCAGGCGGTCGCAGGGTAATTTCCAGGTCTACTCACGTTCTCCGCAAAATTCCCGGCATTTTGACGATTTGGCCTAAAATTTGGCTGATTTTGGGCCCAAACCAGCCTCAGTGCTCAGACTCGGCTCAGAGCCCAAAAATTTGACGATTTCCACGGAGTTTTCCCGGGAAAATAGAGAGGAAAAGAGAGGGTGCTGTAGAGAAAAAAGGAAAGGAAAACAGACGGGGTGCGAGAGGAAAACCTCGTACAGCCTAAACTGATTTGCGCGAAATCCCACACTGGTGGATTTTGGGGCGCTGTCTACCCCCCACCCGGAGCCTGCGTCGTACCCTAGATCAGGGACACCTGCGCTGGAACAGAGCCAACGAGCACTACGAGATAGACAGCCACTTGATGGATCACCTCACTGGCCTCTGAGAGAGACTACACCCTGACTACACCCGTCAGGCTCAGCGCGATCAGCCTGGGGGCCCGCCCCAGGCTACTGGGGCCTGGCCCTGTGGATTCGAGTGGATCCCTCGCGCTAGCCCCACACGCGCTGTTGAACCCCCGAGCAGCCAGCGGCGGGCAAAATAGGCAGTCGTGAGAGAATGGGCGGAGCGCGGCGCGATGACGCGGGGCATGCTTGGTGGGAGGGAGGCGAGCGGCGCGGCGAGAGCAGAGCAGATGACCGCCGGGCATGTGTTGCGTGGCGCGGGCCAAGCGCGGAGGGTCGAGGAGGGCAGTGCGCGCCGAAATTCTTCTCGGCGTGACGTGAGTTGCGGAATCCTGGCGAGGGAACCTGAAGAGCCGAGCTGAAGAGCCAAGACGCGCACCTCGGCGATGGACAGCTTCAGCGCTCCGCTGCTGGGTCCAGCCTCGGACGACGCCAAGAGGAGCGCTCGCAGGTGGCGCGCCGCCACTCTCGCGACCATGCTGCTCGCGCTGGCGCTCGCCGCCGCCGTCGCGGTGCTCGCCAACGAGCGCGCCGCGCTGCTGCAGCGCGGAGAGGCGGGCAGGGAGAAGGACGGCCCCACATACCAGTTCTCGGGGTCCAGCCTCGACGAGCAGTCCTGCACGGTGGCGGGCGTCGACGCCTCCGCCACGGGCCAGAAGCTGCAGTGCTGCAGCGGTCTCGCAGAGGTTGAGAAGCCGTGCTTCCAGCCAGAGGGCCTGTCGGTGTGCATCTTTTGCCTGCCTGCCGAGCAGGTGCCGGCCGCCTGCACGCCGGCCGGCAAGGACGTCTTCGCCAACGACGCCGGCGTCCACATGCCCTGCTGCCCGGGCTTTGCAGAGGTGCTTGGCCCGTGCCGCGGCACCGACATGTGCAACTTCTGCCAGCCCTCCTCCGTTGTCCCGGGGGCGCGGGCGGAGCACCCACCGGCAAAGGTGTCCATCGACCCGGCGACGCCGCAGGACGCGGTCGACAAGTACAAGGCGGACGGGCTCTCCCTCATCCTTTCGGACGAGTTCAAGGACATCGCGCGCACAAAGTCGGTCTTCGTGTTCGAGGACATCCCGTACGGCGTGCCGGGCAACACGGGGGACGTCAACATCGCCTCCATCTACTCCTCGGACACCATCTCGCTGCTGCCGGAGGGCGGCCTCCGCCTCTCCGCCTACCTGGCGCCCGAGGACGAGACGCGGTTTCTGCGCGGGTGGAACGGGACTTGGAACAAAAACTACGGCTCCGACGTCTCGCTCTGGAGCTGGCACGCGCCGAAGGTGACGTCTCGCGTCAACGGCCGCTTCCAGTACGGGTTTGTCGAGACGCGCATCAAGGCGCCCAAGGGGTACGGCCCGTGGCCCGCGGCCTGGCTCAACGGCTGCTACGGCTTCGTCGTCGAGTCCTCGGGCGAGCTGATGCTGCAGGAGGACTACCCATTCCTGTGCGGGCAGTACTGGCCTCCGGAGCTCGACTTTTTCGAGCACTTTTCGCCGGAGCACACCTGGTACTGGCGACCGAACTCGATGTCGCTGCACTCGCCGAACCAGTACGTCGGCCTCGGCAAGAAGAAGACGGAGCAGGGCGGCTACTGCCCCACCACTCTCTCTCCGCCCGGGGAGGCGTGGTGCTTTGGCGTCTCCGGCTCTGGCGCCTTCACCGACGACCCTACCGAGCGTTTCATCGACTACGGCATGCGCTGGGACCCAGACGGCGTGGACTACTACATGGACGGCCGCTTCATGCACCGCTTCACAAAGGACCAGCTCGTCATGTACCTGTCTGGCCAGAACCGGCCGGTGCACCTCCCGGAGATGCCGCTCTTCCTCATACTCTCCCCGTCTCTCCCCACATCTCCCCACATCTCCCCACATCTCCCCACATCTCCCCGCAGGTGCTCATCCCGGAGATGCCGCTCTTCCTCACGTTCAACATCGCGCTCGTCCGCAAGGGGATGGACCTCTCCCACATGGCAGAGGTGGGGAGATCTGGGGGAGATGTGGGGGAGATGTGGGGGAGATCTGGGGGAGATGTGGGGGAGATGTGGGGGAGATGTGGGGGAGATGTGGGGGAGATGTGGGGGAGATGTGGGGGAGATCTGGGGGAGATGTGGGGGAGATGTGGGGGAGATGTGAGAAGACGTCGCTCACCGTCTCAGGGCCTCACCGATGTGTCCAACTTTGACGCGGCGAGCGGCAAGTGGAAGGGGATGCACATGGACGTCGCGTGGGTGCGCGTGTACCAGTCCGACACGCAGGGCGAGTCGCGCGGCCTCAACCCGCCCATCACGTACGAGACGCGTCGCAAGCTGCTCGCCAACCGCGTGACTTGCAACCTGCTGCCCGAGCTGCGCTGCATGCTTAAGCTCGATGGAGGAAAGGAGGGCGCCGCCAAGGCGAGGGCTCACCCGCTGCCCTCCTCGCCGCTGCCGTCCCTCTCTCGCCGCTGCGTTCCTCTCTCGCTGCTGCCTCCGTCGCGGCTGCCTCCCACTTCACCGCGCCTCTGACGGCGACAGGCGGCGCACGTGGCGTGCCAAAAGTTGCGCGAGCTCGGAGACGAGTACTGCGACACCATCCCGCACCTCTGCTCGATCAACAACGCAGGCAGCGCGCGCCTCGTCACGCCCAGTCGCCTCCACATGTTGGCAGTGGCGCCCAGTCGCGGGACGGTCCGTGCCGAGGCGGCCGACGAGTGAGCGCCGAATGAGCACCCGCTCGACACCCACGCACCGCCGCTGGGACCCCCCCCCCTC